AAGCGAGAAATCACCCCCCAGGGGGGATGGTCACGCCGCAATCCCTTCTCCTCCATTCTCCTCTTGGGATCTTGGGCACGCACACACACGCGCCTGGCGTGAGTTTTAAGCCACCGGGTCCGGGACACGAACCGCGGTCGACTACGTGGGAGTCCAGCGACATAGCTATTACGCTAACTGCTGGTTCCCCATACTTGTATTTTAAACTCTTGATCTGTATGACTGCCTATAGAATACCTACACTTATATAACCTCTGACCTTCCATAAAAACTGCTACCCCTTCTAATGAACTATCTTGGATAACCAACCCATGTCAGATGTACAATGGTCATAGGGACCAAGAGGTGGCATGGTGATTAAGGCATTGGACTCCCATATGGCCAACCTCATTGGGTTCCGGCCCAGACCTGGTAGCTTGCTTTCTCACTTTCCTTCTCTCTGTCTCTAGGGAGTACATGTGTCCTATAGCAAATTAAATATAATAATAATAATAAAAAAATAATTTTGGGGGGAGAGGTTTTTGCTATAGGGTGCGTGCCCTCACCAGAAAGCGGGAAATCATTCCCCAGGGGGGATGGCCACACTGCAATCCCTTCTCCTCTCAGAATCTTGGGCACGCACGCACACGCACCCGGTGTGAGTTTAAGCCACCAGGTCCAGGACTCAAACTGCAGTTGACTTCATGGGAGTACAACGACATAGCTATTATGCCACTTGCTTAAATAATTCTTTAAGAGAAAAAAAAAAGTAGTACAGCAGTCATCTTGGGGTTCTCTGCCTTCTAAATATACTGTAATTTCTAAACCTCTTTATTACCACTGTAACTAATTTTAGGCCCTATAATTTCTCAAACAACGGAGCTCTTTTCCTTCAATTTTAACTTTTCCAATCCATCCTCTACATTGCTGACAAAATTCTAAAAGGCAAATTTACATTATTTGTTCATTTAAACTCCTTGAGTAAGTCTCCAACTCCTACGGTAGGTATTCTGGGCTTCAGTGGAAACTATCTGATAAACAAAGCAGTATCCTGAACCCTGTACACATTCACTTCCCTAAGGAAATGGCCCAGATTCTCAGATTAACTCCAGAGGGGCAAACCCTTTGAAACCTTTCAGAATCAAGACTAGATCCTCCTTCTGTTTATGTTCCAGTCGATCTCCATTTACTTTAAGCTCTTAAATAAGATTATGCTGTTTTAACTTTTCACACCACTGAACCTAAGGTTCCCCTGCCTGGAAAACCACTTCCCATCACTCCCCAAGTGAACCCATTCTTCGAGTGTTCTTTCATCTAAGTCCTCCCTAACTTCTCCAAGCAATTGATTTTTTCTCTTCTTTCATCTACTCTTTTCATAGGATGGGAGAGTGTTGAGCTATGGTATGTAAAATCCTTGGTTGTTTGGGTCCAGATCACTAAAATTAGAGACCTGTCCTTAGGTGCAAAACAAAGCCACAACCACAATAAAAGTAGGTAGAAAAGAAAATTTAATAGAAAAGAAGTACACCCAAAAGACTTTTGGGTGGGCACGTTGCTAGGTAGTAACTGCGTTTGGAACTGGTTAGGTGTCTTTATTATCAGAGATGATAATGACTATTTAACAGTGGGAGGTCTGTCACACTGTCTTTTGTTTGAATTTGTGGGCTTTTTCCTGGACTTGCACAGCTCTCTCACAGGTGAAGGATTTGAGGAATTTAATTACCTTACTGTGTATGCCCAGTGTAAACCATGATGCCTAATTAGCATAAACTGCCCAATTAGTTTATTGCCCCAGTGGTAATCAGGATGTTGACCAAAATGTCTGGTTGGGTCTTTTCATATTTATAAGGAGTGATAAGACAGAAATTTACAATCATCCCTATATGCCTTCCTCAGGTACCAAGGAAGAAAATTGTTATCTGCCTCTCTTCCTGGCCCCAGGAGCTGGGAGGGAAGAAGGTATTTCATGGAGGGTCTGGTTCTAACTGCTGATAAATTGTGACTGATGTGACATGTGTCCTTCTGCTATTCTCTTGGGGAGGGCCTGTTCATCACTAGCTAACTGCCTATCACACTCTTAATTCATACACTTTTATTCTAGTATTTATCAAATGGCATTTTGATATTTGTTTTCATATCCTCCATCCTTAATAGATCATGAAGTTTCTTTTCTTTTTGGAGAGGTTTTTGCTATAGGGCGTGTGCACTTGCCAGAAAGACAGAGAGACAGAAAATGAGAAATTACTCCCCAGGGGGATGGCCACGTGGCAATCCCTTCTCCATTCTCCTCTCGGGATCTTGGAAATGCACTCACACACGCCCCACATGAGTTTAAGCCACTGGGTCGGGACTCAAACCGCAGTCATTGAGTACATGGGAGTCCAGGGATGTAGTCATTATGCCATCTGCTGGTCCTGAAAAGTTTTTGTTTTATTCATGTTTGTATCCTACTGTTTAGTACAGTGTGGTAGTATATAATAGATACTCAAATATTTGTTGAATAAATATTCACTACATCATTAACAATGTGTATGTAGTCTTTTCTTAAAAGGCTCTCTTCTGTAATATCAGATTGCTCAAATTGAATGTAGTATTTCCTTAAAAAGCTTAAAAAGGATATTTTCCAAAATATATCAGAACACTAGACTAGTGAACTTATTCCTAGTGCTTTAAAATATTAAGAAAAAAGGGTATTCTATGGTTTTTCTTAAAAAAGGACAAATAGTACAAACATAAATATAAATGCCTCTTAAGTGAAAATCTAAATTAATGACAAACTTAATTATAATTCTCAATGACACTAAATCTACAAAGTATAGGACTTTTTCTTCACCTTTATGCTTGATTAGCCTAGTAACATCTGATTTGTTTCCTCCTGCAATTTAAAAATTTTCTCTGCTTAAATAATAATTGTTTAATATTTAAATCTGGACCCTGTATACACATGTATGTATCTTTATGGCAGACGTTTGTGTGACATTAGTAATATTTTTCCCACCCCACCCCACCCCCCAAAAAAAAAACACCAGGCAAAACTTTAAGGGAATGGTATTCGTAGGAACTCAGATTAGGTACTCATCAGAGAATCTGAGTTTCTGCGTTACTTTTAGAAATATCTAAAATAGATTAAAACAGGAAGTCAGAAGTTCTTCTGTCTTTTCACTACTTTATCACTAAAATAAAGGATGAAGGAATTAACGACGTTAAGGTTACTGGATGTAAACACAACTCACACTTTCCATTGAACACACAGCAGCCACCTACTAATACGGGCCTGAAAATCACACTGAAATACATACTGGTCCACAAAATCTGAAGGGAAATCTGCCATGTCTGGTATATTCACTCAGTTCTCTTAAGTGGCCATTGCCAAGGTCGCATTAATAAGTCTCCTTTGATGTTAATGATTGGGAGCGTTCCCGGCAGGGGGCTAAAAGCTGACTTTCCAAGCTGGACGTTGCTTGGAAATACCTAGAACAAACTCCACAGCCATTCGGATTAAGTGAACCGAACGGACTCGAAACATGCGGATAAAAAGGCCTTTCCTCCGCTTCTTTGACCCACAGTTTATTTTTAACTATTCAATATTTATAACTCAGAGCGAATTCTAAAGGCAAATTAAGAACTGCCTGTTCACCAGATCACTTCTGCGAGACGAACTCGGCTTCGGAGGGAGCCTGGCCTCGAGCCCGCCCGGGGCAGGGGCAGGACCGCACGCGCTGACCCTCTCCGCAGGGCGCGATTCCGGCCCCGGGTTTCGGTTAGACCGCAGCAGGAAGCTTTCTCTTCCTCTGCGGGAGGCGGCGGAGCCAAGGAGAAACTTGAACTCCCACTCTCACGGGGCACGCAGAGGTGAGCTCGGGTGTGGGAGGACGGCTCCGCCGGGAGCGAGGCGGGCCGGGGGACGGG